TATATTAAAAGAGAAAACTGTTATTTTAAATAGTAATAATGTTTCACAATTCTACTGTTTTTACTGTATTTTTATTCAAATAAATGCAGCTTTGAAGAGCATAAGACTTTTTTTTTCAAATATTAAAATAGCTTCCCAACCTCAAACTTTTGAACCTTATATAAATGTAAAAAATAAAATGATACTGTTATAAATACATATTTATATATTTTAATATGTATATTTTTATACTTTTTAAGTTGTTCAATCTAATAAAAAATAATAAATAATAAAACAAACTTCTAATAAAACTTCTAACCCTAACTATTAGTTCAATCATGACAACTCTCTGAAGATTGTAGCATGGTGATGGATATGACAATGTTAATGTATTTGGTCTTGGCGGAACAGATCTGCTACGCTGCTGCTGAATTGCTGCTGCTGTTGGTTATTGCTGTAGTTGTAGATTATTGCTGCTGCTGCAAGCAAGTACAGGAACTTGCTACTGCCAATGCATATGGTGATACGGTGCAGTGAGTATTTAAGACATGCTGCTGCTGCTGCTGCACAAATAGCATATAAATAACCCCGTAGCAGATCAATATAGGTGGAGCTGGGGAAGGTGGAGGGTTTCAGAGAACTCTGAAAGCGTGCTGCAGGAATCTCAAGTGAATGCTAGCCAGCCATATAAATGCAAGGCTGTAAGCTCATTGGCTGCATATGCAGCATGAACCAATCTGCTTGTGCCAAGTCATTTAACTCTCTGAATATCATCAGTTACGTTAACACCCCGTCAGAATGCGCCGTCTAGAGTTTCATGACTGAACTATATATTTCATTCTCTTTAAAGCACTACCACCAAAAGCCATGAAATTCATGACCTTCAACATCAACAACAACAACAAATCATGAGATATACACTGGCATAAAAACTTAGTATGGATCACTGTGAATGCAAATGGTCAAAAATAAATGATATTTTTTAGCTGGCCACAATCATTCAAACTGGCTTTGATATAGCTGTCAGAATCTAAATAAATAGTATTTTTTTTCCCCCTGACGATTGGGAAAAATAAACTAGGTGGAGTAGCCATGCAGTACTAAAGTATTGGACATATCCATAGTCACAATGCAACACACCATACGCATCAGGTGTAGATACAGTGTTAGCAGGCCATATACAGCTTGTAGCACTAGCATTGAATAGATGTGTTCCAGGAGCAGCTCTGTGTAATTACGTCTAGTGTATTTTTTAAATAACAGCCCGCCGTTTCATTCTGATGGCATGAGACTTGAGAAGCGTTTCCTCCTCCCTCTCAATTAGACAGAGAAGACTGACTCCACTCTCAAAGTGCACCTGTCGGCTGACTTTAATGGCTCACCTAGCAGCAGATATCCAGTGGAGTTTAATTACAGTGAAAGGATGAAATAGGTGGAGTTGATATCCAGCTCGTCTTTTGAGATGGAGACCCAGATTTCTCTATCCACTTTTAAATGGTACATACATACTCTGAGACGTGTTCAAAGTACAGGCAAACAGCAAGAAAGAAATATAGGCATGCAGAAAGACAACCGACATGGACAGGAGCCAAAGAAAGTGGATCTATTCCAATCTCTAGTGCACTATCAATCACTATGAAGTCACCTACCTTTTAAGAAGTGTTTACTTTGAAGCCGTAGCTTGCAAAAATAAAATCTATCAAGTAATTCCATTTTTTCATTTTGCTACAAAAACAATTTGACATAAATTGAGGTTCTGTGATGATTTCAAATAATTGGTGAATCATTTATTTGAACCAGTTCATTAAATGAATCATTTAAACAAATAAACTCCCTAAAATGAATCACATTTCCAAAAAATGTTTCATACATTTTTGACATCTTAAAATGTGTTTGATTATTGCCTCAGCTCATTTTGTTAAAGGCTGTGTGTGTAAAACAGTTATGTAATGTGTTGGGCAGCACTGCTACTTGTTGCAAAAAAAGATGCATTTACGTCAGTAGCATCCCCATGTGAAGTTAAAACACAACAAAATGGCAAATACAAGCTCTACAAGCTCTAAGCTCTAGTTGCAATAGTCTGATGTTAGCATGATGGTAAGCTAACTAATTAATACTCTAAAGGCCTTTTCACATAACTTGCATCAAGTTTTTCTCATTGTGTGACACTATGAATTTATGACAGCTGCAGAGTTACCTCTAAAACTGGCTGTCCGCCAGTCAAGCTATTTCTAAACTATTTCAGCTTTGACCCTGTTTGCTGCTGACCTGTCATTCTTTACAATGACTATTCCAAATCTGGCCATAAGTATGTGGCTGTCACACATGATTTTGCCTGACTAATGCGGTTTTTTAGAGCTAAAATGGGAAAAAAAAAATGTAAAAGCTTCAAACTTTATGAAGAGATCTTGAATGCCTCATAATTTCCTTTTATTCATCTATATTTACCTTGTTTTATTGTAATACTTTCACATCTTTAGTTTGCTGTCATTTGACCTTTATTAGGCTCGCCTCGTCTGTAACGTAATTTTCAACATTAGTATGTTGCATAGCTTTAATAAAAAATAATAATAGTAATAAATGAGTAAAAAAACGACAGCTCCTTTTTTCCTTTCTTTGATGCATCAAAGCCATTGGCAGGTCTTTTTTGTGCACACGTCCCACTTTGTTGCTTCCCAGAAAAAAAATGGCCTTTTGTGGAACTCCAGCATTTGGTGAAAATGGCACACGACGTTTGCGGTGAAGCAAAGTAACAAATCATGTGTAAGGGCTTTGAAGGAATAAGGAACCCAAAAAAGAAAATTTGCTTAAAATGTACTCAGGCATCCAAGATGTACATGAGTTTGTTTCTTCATCGGAGCCGATTTGAAGAAATTTAGCATTACATCACCTGCTCACCAATGGATTATCTGCAGTGAATGGGTGCCGTCAGAATGAGTCCAAACAGCTGATAAAAACATCACAATAATTCACAACTTGACTCCATTAATTAGTAAACTAATTAGTCTTATGAAGTAAAAAGCTATGGGTTTGTAAGAAACAACTCCATTATTAAAACTGCAGTAAGCGATTGACAAAAACTGTTGATGTTGAAATTCAAACAAACACATCACTACCCAAAAGAAACACACCCCTCCATTTACTGCTCTACCCCCAAATTCATGAACATGTTATGCAATGCAAACAACAACTAAAAGCCAGTGTTACTTGTTACTATAGCCAATATTACAACAACAGCATATCCTGGTTCTGTTAAACACAGCAAAACCAATGTTACTCATGTATTGAGCAGAAACAAATACCTATTTACAGGCCTTCCCACTCTCTGGGTCTCTCCAGTGCTAGAAAGTTTTTACTGTTTACTCATACTGTATGTCTCAGCAATCTGTCTTTCTACAGTCTTTCTACAAATCTCGCTCTCTTCCCCCAACATTACAAAATTATTTGTTTGGGTATTGATTTAAATTTTCCACATTGTTTCCCAGAAATCACTTAGTGCATTTTAACCGTTGCTTCTAGCCAAAATTTGAGTCCATAATAGCATTTCCTCCAGTGGAAAAAGTCCATCCTCTGTTGTTCTCTCACATCAAAATCCACCCACATATTTGTTTAGAACTGTTTTCACTTGTAAACAGTGCTTGATCTGTGCATCTTTCTCTCCTGATTTAGGTGAGACAACTTTTTCACTGGAAAAAATAAAAAAGTGAAAGGAAAAAAAACATCTTAATAATCAATTTGTTTCTTACAAACATGCAACTTTTCACTTCACAAGACATTAATTGATGGATTGGAGTCGTGTGGATTATTGTGAGGTTTTTTTATCCGCTGTTAGGACTCTCATTCTGACGGCACCCATTCAGTGCAGAGGATCCATTGGTGAGCAAGTGATGTAATGCTAAATTTCTCCAAATCTGTTCTGATGAAGAAGCAAACTCATCTATATCTTGGATGGCCTGACACATAGCTCACATGAATAGAATAAAAGATTTTTCATCGGATTGAATTCATTTCATTTTGTTCCTTTTTGCCATTCCTTTTGGGGGGTAGTTCCTTTTAGATTTTACATTCAAGTTCATCACAGAGCATTCTCGAATTGTTAGGTTTGGATTAAGTCTTGAGTTTTTGAATATGATGAATCACAAATATAATTCTCCAGCCCATAAATAGCCAGTTCATGCACAGTTGCACAGCTGCATATTAATGAGCCAAGATGCTTGACAACCACAAACGACACTCAGTTATACTATGTCTAGTCTACACCAAACACACTAGACAACACGCCAAATCTAAACAACTCCCATTATAATTAATGTAGCCGTCTACACTGGAAGCAACCATCTGCGACAGTTTTCAGACTGTTGTAAGAAATTGCATCATGGATATTCTGCGGCATGAGTATGGCATAATTTCAACCACTGCACATTATACACAATTTTACCACCCAGCCTTGCACATAACATCTTCAAATCTTCATAACATCTTCAAATCATACAAAAATCCATAACAATAAACGCTGCATGAACAGACAAGGATATCTGAAAATGTCAACTATAGACGCCCACCAATCTTTTATCCTCAACCGCTAATCTGAACAGTCTGACAATAGCCACAATTTATTTGCCTCGATTTCCACTCAGCCTCGCGGCATTTACAGCAACGTTTTGAGATTTTTATTACGGTTGTCAGTTTGTCTTTGGCAGACGTGACGGTATAATTCATACATCATCAGACACTCAGTTTGGAGAGCTGTATCTTGCTGCTTCAGTAATGAAGGTGTGCAGAGAAGATGCAGAGACCGATTTGCGGGACGCTGCCACACAAAGATAGAGATACAATTATCTCTCTGACTTCGCTCAGAGCGTAAACGCTGAGCTGTAACATCTCATTTCACCAACTCCAGGAATGAAATCGAAAGCTATGGTTCTGGAGAAAAGGTGCAAGGTTTATTTTGCAAAAGTGGTAAATAAAATCTCTCATGTTAGTGACAGGGAAAGAATGATGGACAGAACTTTGAGTCTCACCCTCAGTGTTTTGAGCCAAGATTTGGGTGATGATAACAAACAAGCCAATCGCCAACACCAGACAGTCCGATCGCCACCAGCGCCTCCTCATCTTCAGTTACTGCCTACTGCCAATCCACCTGCAGAGAAACAGAGAAATGGTGTTATTTTAAAGTCTAAAAAAATATATATCACTGTTAACTGTGCAGAACTATTACAAAATAAATAAAATATTCAGTGTAAAAATCAACAGAAAACTTTGGTGTAATGCTGCATCCGTACTGATGGGTTATTTAGAGAACATTTAGAGAATAGCGGTTATCATTAGGGATGCACCGATACTGATACTGGTATCGGTATCGGGCCCGATACTGGTCTCCTGTACTCGTACTCGTACTCGTTAAAATGCCCCGATACCAAACGCCGATACCACACAGCATGTGATAAGTGCCATATTCAGACAAAGAAACACTGACAACAGAACAACAGACAGCAGAAAGGAGTTAAGGATGTCTACTACGAAGTATATGTATGCAATGAATATAATGTTAAACATTCAGTATTAACGCCTGTATAGCTGATGTGCGCGAGCTGATAAACAAAGCACGCTGAGTGGATTGAGCGCGCAGCGGCGCAGATGCGCGAGCTTGTCGAGTGAATATATCTTTCTCACAGACATCACTGGAAAGTTTGTAGTTCGGTCGGATATGTCAAAAACAAGTAAGTAAAACAATGCACAAGTAACTGAATGGTAGGGAGAGAGAGAGAGAGAGAGAGAGAGAGAGAGAGAGAGAGAGAGAGAGAGAGAGAGAGAGAGAGAGAGAGAGAGAGAGAGAGAGAGAGAGAGAGAGAGAGAGAGAGAGAGAGAGAGAGAGAGAGAGAGCGCG